AATTTATGCAAGTCCCCAGGTCCATGGACAGCCACCTCTGGGCCTGATGGGATACAGGTACAATGCAAGGATTCAACTAATCATTCAAACTAGTACCCGCCTAGCTTGGCGATAATGAGTCCAACGGTTATACGATCTAATTATCTCCAAGTGCCCAAAAGACCATGCTTTATTTTGTCCTAGAAAACAGCATAAAAATACATAACTTTAATATATTAATGGGAATATAGTTCATTCGACTATTCATTCGGTAGATCAGATCTGGGCGCATCAGGTATACGAATTGCACCCAGATCCCATGAACAGAACAGAGGGTTTCTGCCAAATAAAGTCTTATTCAGTACTTTTGTCACAAACTCCTGATGGCGGCCATGTTTTAAGGTTGGTCAATGGACCTCGACCTAGAACTCACGGAGCGGGTGTCGGCTACATATTTACACGAATCCCCGCTCTCAGGGATTCGGGAAACGAACGGAGACCATCCGGAAGGGGGTACTTAACCTGCGGTTAACCACAAGATTAACGTTCTAATTGAGGCCACACGCTAGAATGCAGGTGGTCCTCGTCTTTGAGTCTTTCGGTAGTTTTTCCTTTCGGGGAAATGTATCTGAACGTGGATGCCCTGCGACCGTCAATTAGTTTGTGGTTAACCGCAGACTGCAGCTCCTTTGGTGGTTAAGTGGCGGCACACGCCAAGGGCTGGGTGGTCCGTCATTCGTATATATGAATGAGTAGTTATAACGGTTCGTGGAGTGAGTTTGTACAGTCTGAATCCCGAACATAGTATAGGTTTTAACAAAAGGGGGTTACTTTATAACAGTTTGGAGGTTTCTTGTAACAGTGCTCCCTCCTTGTGGAACACTCTGGCAGACACTGTCCGACCCCTTTTCGGGGAAGACTAAGGCTGTCCAGACCGAGGAGTTATGCTGGACTGAGGTCGGTTTGCCGAGATAACCCATCGGCATTGCCATTCTGCTTCCCGGGTCGGTAGGTGATAGGGAAATTAAACGGTTCTAAGGATAAGCTCCAACATAAAAGTCTGCCGTTGTCCCCAGCGACCCGGTTGAGCCATACCAACGGGTTATGGTCTGTAACCAGCGTGAACTCTTGTCCATACAAGTAGGGAGTCAATTTCTTTAGTGCGCACACCAGGGCCAAACACTCCTTTTCCATGACGGTATAGCTGACCTCGCGTGGCAGGAGTTTTTGGCTGATGTAGGCAATCGGGTGCTCCTTTCCATCTTCTCCTACTTGGCTGAGGACGGCACCCAGCCCGAACATGGAGGCATCTGTATGGACGATAAAGCATCTTAAAAGCTGTTTCACAGTGGGGAGACCACAGGACCTGTCAGGGAAGATTTTTCTTCGTCAAGTCAGTCAGGGGTTTAGCAATAGAACTATAATCTGGTACGAACCGCCTGTAGTACCCAGCCGTGCCCAGGAAGGCTAGTACCTGGATCTTAGTGTGAGGTGTGGAACAATTTGCGACCGCCTCTATCTTAGCTGGCTCCGGTCATTGCTTCCCGCATTCCACTCGGTGACCCAGGTACTGTACCTCAGCCATCCCAAAATGGCATTTTTCTGGTTTCAGAGTCAGGCCCGCGGCCTGAATCTGATCTAGAACCATTCCTACATGAGCTAAGTGTCCCTCCCAGGATTCACTATGGATCGCTATGTCATCCAGGTAGGCACAGGCGAAATCCTGGAAGCCATAAAGGAGTCTATCCACCAAGCGCTGGAAGGTGGCAGGGGCATTCTTCATCCCGAATGGCATAACCTTAAAATGGTATAAGCCAAGCGGGGTGACAAATGCCGTCTTAGGGATAGCTTCCCTTGCCAGGGGGATTTGCCAGTAACCCTTAGAGAGGTCAATGGTGCTTAGGTAGTTTTCCCTGGCTATGCGATCCAGCAGCTCATCTACCCTAGGCATTGGGTTGACATCGGTCATGGTTTTATCATTGAGCTTCCTATAGTCCACACAGAATCTGGTAGTGCCATCTTTCTTGGGTACTAGCACCACCAGGGATGCCCAGGGACTATTGGAGGATTCAATGACCCCTAGTCTAAGCATCTCGTTGATCTCTTTTTTCATCCCTGCCCTGACATCCTCGGGGATCTGGTAGGGGGCCTGTCTTAAGGGTTGCTGCCCTGGAGTATCTACTTGGTGGGTGGCTAAGTCTGTGTACCCTGGTTCCTGGGAGAGCATCGCCTGTTTCTCTTGGAGCAGTTTGTGCGGCTGCTCCCTCTCTACTGGGTTAAGTCGGTCCCCTATCTGCACTTGGTTCACTAAATCAGACAGTGGGTCCTGGTCTAACAGGTCGGGTATGGGGAGGCTATCGGGTCTTCGCAAGCGGGGCTGCATATTGCTGCCACATCCTCCTCTCTCCAGGTATTCCTTAAGCATATTTACATGGAAAATCTTTTGCAGGCTCTGATCGTGGCAGCTAGCCACGTATGTAGTGTCCCCACGTTTCTCCACTACTTGGTAAGGTCCCTGCCAGGCTGCTTGCAGCTTGTCTGCTTTAACAGGTTTGAGCACCATAACTTTTTGTCCTATATAAAAGCTCCTCCGCCGTGCCCCCCTGTCATACCAGACCTTCTGTCGCCTCTGGGCCGCCTGGAGGTTAGTCTGGACCGACCTGGCTAATTGCTCCATACGGTCCCTAAGTTCCAGCATGTATGGTACCATGGGGACTACGGCATTCTCAGTCTCTCCCTCCCAGGATAAGGTTCATGGGGCCCTGCACCTTGCGTCCGTATAGCAGCTCAAAAGGAGAGAATCCGGTTGTTTCCTGGTGCACCTCCCGTAAGCAAACAGGAGTTGCGGCAGGAAGCTTTCCCAATCTCTATATTCCTGGGTGAAGGTGTTTAGCATTTGTTTGAGGGTTCCATTGAACCTCTCACATAGCCCATTAGTCTGCAGATGATATGAGTAGAGATTTTATTTTGCAGACATGCCATAGCTGTTGCGTTAGTTCAGCAGTGAACTGGGTGCCTCTGTCGGATAGAATTTCCCAAGGGAATCCTACCCGAGAGAACACCTGAACTAAGGCATTAGCTACGGTGTCTGCATGGATGTTGGATAGAGCCACTGCCTCTGGGTAGCGCGTGGCATAGTCCACCACAGTAAGAATATATATTTTTCCGGATGGACTGGGGGTGGCGAGTGGTCCCACTAAGTCGATGGCTACCCGGATAAAGGGTTCTTCTATAATGGGCATATTGAGAAGGTGTAACACACTAATTGAAATAAATCAATTAAAAATACACAGGATTCAGTGGAAATGAGAATGTATAGAGCACTTCACAATAGATGAAAGTTAATATTTGCTCTCTTATTCAAATATAAATGTATCAGCTGATCATGTCATCACCACCTATTAAATAAGGAAGGCAGAGTCTATGAGCTGCTGAAAATAATCTAATATAGGTTTCAATAAATTATGAATCCGATATATGTAGCTGGGTAATATAAATAAAATAAAATGAAATGGGATAGAACCCCTCCAAGGGTTAAAAATGTGATGCAGCAGACAGATACTTTTCCAAATTTATTAATAAATGACAAAAAATGCTACAAATATATGTAGCTATCAATAAAAGTCCCAAAAAAGAGTAGCAAATCAGACAGCCCCAATACCAGGTTAACAGACCTCGAGCCCAAAAGGATATTGAGATTACTTTCTCGCCGGCCGGACAGAAGTAAATGGGATTTTCCTCGTGCTGTGTACCGCTGGTTTCTAGCCGCGTGCGTTCCTCTGCGGCTCAGGATGCGTTTTAAGGATGCTCACTCTCGGGATCAGTGTGTGTTTGGTTTGCAGATGCCGCCTTACGCGTTTCGTGATTCTCGATCACTTCGTCAGAGGATGGCATCACGGAGTCTGCAGTCTTCTTTTTATACTTGTTCTGTCTGTCTCCAATAGTATTAAGTTAACCCTTACTAAGTCCATATATAATGTTGCAATTCATATCAATAAAAGTAACATAAAAAGAGGGACAGACTGTGAGGTATTGGAGGTGAGGGACAGACTGTGAGGTATTGAGGGGGTGAGGGACAGACTGTGAGGTATTGGGGGGGTGAGGGACAGACTGTGAGGTATTGGGGGGGTGATGGACAGTCTGTGAGGTATTGGGGGGGTTGATGGACAGACTGTGAGGTATTGGGGGGGAGGGACAGACTGTGAGGCATTGTGGGGGGGGTGAGGGACAGACTGTGAGGTATTGGGGATGAGGAACACACTGTGATGTATTGGGGGGTGAGGGACAGACTGTGAGGTATTGGGGGGATGAGGGACAGACTGTGAGGCATTGGGGTGAGGGACACACTGTGGGGTATTGGGGGGGTGGAGGGACAGTCTGTGAGGTATTGGGGGGGGTGAGGGACAGACTGTGAGAGGTATTGGGGGTGAGGGACAGACTGTGAGGTATTGGGGGTGAGGACAGACTGTGAGGTATTGGGGGTGGAGGACAGTCAGAGGTATTGGGGAGAGGGACACACTGTGGGTATTGGGGGGTGGGAGGGACAGACTGTGAGGTAATAGTGAGGGACAGACAGTGAGGTATTAGTGAGGGACAGACTGTGAGGTATTGGGGGGGTGAGGGACAGACTGTGAGGTATTGGGGGGGTGATGGACAGTCTGTGAGGTATTGGGGGGGTTGATGGACAGACTGTGAGGTATTGGGGGGGAGGGGGTGGGTTGATTTGCCCTAATCCATCATGGCGCCGGGATGATCGATCTCTGTGACGTCAGTTCCGGTCGCCATGTTTGAGTTTCCCTCCAAGCTGGAGATGGGGAAAGGAAGTGACGTCACGGAGAAGGATCCGCCCGGCCGGCGCCATGATGGATGAGGGCAGTGTGGGCAACAGGCAGCCATTAGCGGATTGATTTCAGTCAGTTCGGGCACATTGTGCTGTATGAGAATTCCAATCCTTAATGTCAGTGTCCATTACCCATAATACTCCACGGGATGAAACAGGATCCGGCTTGCCCTCATCCATCATGGCGCCGCAATGCCTGACGTCACTTCCGCTTTATCAGTGCACTCAGTGCAGAGCTGGCTGCTGGGAGCGGAGGGTGAGTCCGGGGTTCATTGTGTTTATTGGGATATTCCTGGATCCAGAGCGAAAATAATAATTAAAGTAAAGGGGGAACATGGGAGAGTGAGAGAGAGGAACATGGGGGGAAAGAGAGAGAGGAACATGGGGAGAGAGAGACATGGGGAGAGAGAGGGGAACATGGGGAGAGAGAGAGAGGTGGAAACCATGGGAGAGAGAAAGAGGGAACACGCAAAGGAGAGAGAGAGGAACATGGGGGAGAGAGAGGGGAACATGGGGGAGAGAGAGAGGAACATGGGAGAGAGAGAGAGGAACATGGGGAGAGAGAGAGAGGAACATGGGGGAGAGAGAGAGAGAACATGGGAGAGTGAGAGGGGGAAACATGGAGAGAGAGAAACATTGGGGGGAAAGAGAGAGGAAACATGGGGAGAGAGAGAGGAACATGGGAGAGTGAGAGAGAGGAACATGGAGAGAGAGAGGAACATGGAGAGAGAGAGGAACATGGGGAGAGAGAGACATGGGGAGAGAGAGGGGGGAACATGGGGAGAGAGAGGGGGGAACATGGGGAGAGAGAGAGGGGGAACATGGGGAGAGAGAGAGGAACATGGGGGGAAAGAGAGAGAGGAACATGGGGAGAGAGAGAGAGAGGAATACTTTTAAAGTTAGAATTGTGTAAAAACCTTTTCTGCCTGTGCTAATTAAGTTAGTCTATTGTCTTGGTGTGAGGAAGGGGAGGAGGTGTTGTGAGGGAGGGGGTTTAATAATGTGATGGTGTGTGGGAGGGGGAGGGAGGTTGTTGGTGTGAGGGAGGGGATTTAATAATGTGTGGGTGATGGTGTGAGGGAGAGTGGACTAAATACATTCTGTTATTCCGTTGTGTTCCAGTGTGGGCTCCCTGGTGGTGATATCTGGTGTGCAGAGCTTCAGACCATGTATTTTGCGAGACCCGGTCAGAGCGTTGCCATGGTAACCCACGGCAATGCTCTTATTGGTCAGATATCGCAAGATACATGGTCTGCATCTCTACACTGCAGACCAGTGGCCACGGGCGCCCTCATCCACGCAGGCAGACGGCACTGGGGGGCCTCGTACCCAGTGGGATAATAAGCAAGGTGCCGGGCCCCCTCCTGGTGTTGGGTCCTCGGTCAGTGACAGAGGACCCGACACAGGCGGCCGCCTACACTGCCTAATTAGAGGACTGCCTATGACACTAGTGTTTATTGTATACCACTCCTAGGTTCAGTCCTTTATATTTGATCTTCAATGTACTCCTCTGTTTTAGGTTATCTCGATTCTCCATGCTTTGGTAAGTCACGTGACTCTCTACAATCGCTTCCGTGTCGGTACTGTACGGGAGAGGTTAACATACTATTGGTAAGTACACCTTACACCTTTTCTATATATTTACAGTTTGGTGTATGTCACGTTGATATTAAGAAAGACTTGAACGGGTCGAAACGTCGATCGAGCATTTGTGTGATTTAATGTCTAAATAAACACTACTTTAATTGTGAAAGACTTCAGAGTGCACCCTTCCTCCAAGTTTCTTTCTTTCTTAAGTTCTCTCTCTCTATATATAAATATCCCAAGTGATAGTCCGCACTCACGGTCTCTGTTTTAAAACAAAACTTTTATTGTTCACATAAAAGAACAAACAATGAGACCTTAAAGTGTTAACGTTTCAGTCCCAGATCAGGATTATCCTCAGGACAGCTGTATAATTTGGCCCCCAGCAGCACCCCATTTATGCATGTTCAGGTGAGTGCAGCCTGCAGCAACCCCCACTGTAATACATAGAGAGAGCCCCAGATGGAATTTTTTTCCCCAAGTAAGTGGGTTAATCTCATAAGAGCAGACATTAGCTGTTAGAGTAGGACCTGCAAAGAATGGGGTACATTGACGTTGTGGCAGGCTTATGCAACGTATGATCATATAATATAACTAAACCCCCATTGTTTTTTGCCTGGGTGAGGTGCTTTTAAAAAAAAATAATAAAATCTGTCAGCATTGAAGTTGCTGTTTAGGGCATAGCTGAGTGCGCTGGATCTTGTGTATTATATACAGTATATACTCGAGTATAAGTCGAGACCCCTAATTTTACCCCCCCCAAAACTGGGAAAACTTATTGACTCGAGTATAAGACTAGGGTGGGAAATGCAGCAGCTACTGGTAAATTTCTAAATAAAATTAGATCCCCCAAAAATTACATTAATTGAATATTTATTTACAGTGTGTGTGTGTATATAATGAATGCAGTGTGTATGAGTGCAGTGTGTGAGTGCAGTGTGTATGTGATGCAGAGCCTTGGTGGGGGGGTGGGCATTTTTTTATTTTTTTTTATTATTATAATATTTTTTTTTATATATATTATTATTTTCTTTATTATATTATTATTTCATTTTTTATTTATATTTATTTTCATCCCCCCCTTCCTGCTTGTTAGCTGGCCAGGGAGGGAGCTCTCATTCCCTGGTGGTCCAGTGGATGGGCTGTGCAGGAGGGGGGCTGGCAGAGAGCTGTTACTTACTTTTCCTGCAGCTCCTGTCAGCTCGCTTTTCCTCCACTGTAAGTCTTGCGGCTGCGCGGAGCGTTCCCCGCGGCTCTCGCAAGATTTACAGTGGAGCTGACAGGGGAGCTGACCGGCACGGAGGAGAGAGAAGGGAGCTGACAGGAAGGTAAGTAACAGCTCTCTGCCAGCCCCCATCAGTACCGCCGGGCTTGTAATGAGCCTGGCGGTCCTGGTCTGTATTATGACAATGTAAATTGCCATAATACAGACATTAACTCAAGTATGAGTCGAGTAGGGGTTTTTCAGCACAAAAAATGTGCTGAAAAACTCGACCTATACTCGAGTTTATAAGATTTTATAAGATTGTGCAACATCGATCTAGGTAATGCAATACTGTGTTGTTGCGTAACCTGTTATAGTAAAAGTTGGTTGAGGTGTGCCAGAACCACCTATGTGGTAGGCCTGTAAATAAAAGTGGACCCACTCTAGTAGCATATAAATGAATAAAGGATGTGGAGGGAGGGGCATGCAAACTGCCAGCCCATTGACGGTAGGGTAGGAAAGGGGGGAGTCCCTTTTGTAGGTAACAGAAGCCCCTCCCACAACTCCAGGCAAAGTCTTACATTTGTGTTCAGGGCAACATGGGTAAAGCAGAACTGTGTTGTGGGGTAACCTGTTATAGGAAAAGTCGGTTGAGGTGTGCCGGAACAGATGATGCGGTAGGCCTGTGTAATAAACGTTTAACTCGCAAGTTGGAATAAACTTGGAATTAATAATAACTTAAAGTTATTTTAAATAATAACTTAAAAACCGAGTGTAAAGTCAGAGTCCACACTCCTTGCTTTCAGCAATTCAATAATATTTATTAATAGAGGCTAATCAAACAAATAAACAATACATATACATTTGAAATAGGCTAGTATATGTTCCTACTAAAACTAATCATTGATTGAATGGAAAGTAGCCTAAATTAACATAGTAAAACAGGCACAGACACGTGATACAGTTACCACTCCATTGATCACCAGCTGAGAGTAAGAGAGAGAGTGAGCTATTCACAGGGTTTTAAACAGGTTAGCCCCTCCTTCTGCTGGACACACCTCCCTTAGGATGTAACAGAACCAGAGTGCCTACTGGTGGAAGGGGGAATGCATTGGAAGGAAATGGAGGAGGTGTTTATCAATAACTCAACTGGTTTGCCTGGTGAAAGGCCATGTGCTTCACAGAGGACTCCATTATTGTCTAAGGGTAGAATGGGGGCTTGAATCCCTTTTTTAGAACACAATAACACTTCATTGGCATACAGCTTGGCTGTTAATAAGTCCCCACACCTACTACAGCCTGTAAATAAAAGTGGACAAAAAGGAAGAATACAATGCTGTTGTATATTTATTTAGGCAACATAATACAATGTAAAAGGGGGGAATTAGGCGCTCGCTATGGTGGTGGCTAAAGGTGGTATTGGGCAGAAGTAACCAATACAAGGATTCCCAACCTTGTGGTGTATAGTGTAGAAAGAAAGGGAGGAGGTAAACCGCGCCCTAGATAATATAGTACAAGAAATGTATACGTACACAAGATATATGATATATATACATTTGACCTCAAAAATAAAAGGACATAAAAAATAATAGTGCAAAATGTTGTGTTTTTTTATTTTTTTTTATTCTTTATTTTTACCTGTGCATGAGGTAACACCAAGCGTGTAGTGCCACAACGGCCCCTACAAGCGTTTTATAGCATTTCAACATGGCAAGATTCCTAGCGTTTAGCGCAGATGAGCGGAGTTGGTGGACTTTGTCAGATTGTTATCAGCTATATATCAGAGAATTTACAACATTTGAAAACAGGTTAGACAATAATGTTAAACTACACTGTTAAACTGGTGAGCTATAAAACCACCTGGCTAGCACGGTAATAGAGGTGAGATATCTCCCAACAGTACATGTCTACATTAGTAAGCATGTTGGTAGCCTGGCTGTTATCAGGTTAAGTTAAGTAATGACATGCAATTAGCCGGCATAGATGTTTCTGTACAATTGAGTAATAAAACGAAACAACAAATAGATAATGCTGCTTCTCTGTGTAACAAGCTTGTGTTGGGATAGTCACCCTCACAGGCCAGCAGTATGCATAAGGGCTAGTTTCTCATGATCGCCAAAAGGGGTCATTAATGTCCAGGGTGTAGTGGCTGCTTGTGAGTACGTTTCTTAACAGTCATGCTGTCCCAGGGCCGGTCCGACCCTCAGCCAATAATGGCAACTTATAATGTAGATTTAGTCACGGTTACTGAGGCATGGCATATGAGAAAAATGACTTGGATGTAGCAATACCAGGGAACTCTTTATATAGAAAAGACAGAGAAGGCAAGAAAGGGGGTGGGTGGCTCTGTATGTGAAGGATAGCATCAAATCTAGCCTTATAAAAGTTAGTAAGGCAAACAGTCAGTTTGGGTTACATTAGAAGTTGGTAATCACACAGTACCTCGTATAGGTGAGATTTATAGGCCCCCAGGTCAAATGGAAGAGTTAGATAATCTACTAGTTGAGCAAATAGCTAAAATGACAATGATGGGAGAAGTTCTCATCATGGGTGACTTTAATCATCCCGATGTGAACTGGAAAACCAAAACAGCTGTTTGTGCTAGGAGCACAAATATTCTAAACTCCCTATTGGGATTATCTCTAAAACAACTAGTTGAGGAGCCAACTCGTAAGGTGGCAATACTAAATTTAGTGCTTATAAATGGACATTTGGTATCAGATATTACTGTAGGTGAAAGTTTAGGATCCAGTGACCACCAGTCAGTGTGGTTTAATACAAGAACAGTGACTGAGCCACACCACACACTAAAAAAAGTTTTAGACTTTAGAAAAACAGACTTTTCTAAAATTTGAATGTGTAAAGGAGTCATTGTCCGTCTGGACCAGTTTAAATGGAGTCCAAGAGAAATGGGATTGTTTAAAGTTGCACTGCTGAAGGCAACAGAAAATTGCATTAGTCTTGTCAGTAAAAGCAAAAAAAATTCAAGAAACCACTGTGGTACTCCGCAGATGTGGCCAAAATAGTAAAAAACTAAAAGTTAGTGTTACGGTTGCCTCCAGACCAGCAGAAGGTTTGGACCACTTAGATGTCTTTGTTCCCGATCTTGGAGAGTAAGAGCAGAGCTCCAAACAGCATCCAGCTATAATCCCGCTACTATAACTCCTTTCCCTACAACACGAGTCGAGGCTGCGGGTTGAGGATAAGAACTGATTTATTGAGCATTCATGCACTGCTTAAACACATATTTTCAGGCCAGAGGAACACACCTCTGGACCTGATGGTACACAGGATTACAAAGGGTAACAGCCAATAGAAACAAAGTGCATTTTTTTTTTTTTAAACACTCCCTCCTGGTCTGTAGATAATTGGTCTCAACGGTTACAGTAACTCTATCTCCAGGTACATGAAATAAAATCACTTTTATAGAGACATGAAAATGAATAAAAATGTATAACTTTTACACCATTGAATGTCACATTCAACCCATCCCCAGACAGCTTGGATCTGAGCGCACAAGAGACACAAAAAGCGTTCAGATCTCATGAACGGTATGGTAACGCCATGTGGATGAAAATTGTCTGCAGGGCTGTTCGAATGTGTAAAGGAGTCATTGTCCGTCTGGACCAGTTTAAATGGAGTCCAAGAGAAATGGGATTGTTGAATGTCACATTCAACCCATCCCCAGACAGCTTGGATCTGAGCGCACAAGAGACACAAAAAGCGTTCAGATCTCATGAACGGTATGGGAACGCCATGTGGATGAAAATTGTCTGCAGGGCTGTTCGAATGTGTAAAGGAGTCATTGTCACCATTGAATGTCACATTCAACCCATCCCCAGACAGCTTGGATCTGAGCGCACAAGAGACACAAAAAGCGTTCAGATCTCATGAATGGTATGGGAACGCCATGTGGATGAAAATTGTCTGCAGGGCTGTTTGAATGTGTAAAGGAGTCATTGTCCGTCTGGACCAGTTTAAATGGAGTCCAAGAGAAATGGGATTGTTTAAAAGTTGCACTGCTGAAGGCAACAGAAAATTGCATTAGTCTTGTCAGTAAAAGCAAAAAAAAATTCAAGAAACCACTGTGGTACTCCACAGATGTGGCCAAAATAGTAAAGAACTAAAAGTTAGTGTTATGGTTGCCTCCAGACCAGCAGAAGGTTTGGACCACTTAGATGTCCTTGTTCCCGATCTTGGAGAGTAAGAGCAGAGCTCCAAACAGCATCCAGCTATAATCCTGTAAGTGTAGATATCCCGCTAGTATAACTCCTTTCCCTACAACACGAGTCGAGGCTGCGGGTTGAGGATAAGAACTGATTTATTGAGCATTCATGCACTGCTTAAATACATATTTTCAGGCCAGAGGAACACACCTCTGGACCTGATGGTACACAGGATTACAAAGGGTAACAGCCAATAGAAACAAAGTGCATTTTTTTTTTTTTAAACACTCCCTCCTGGTCTGTAGATAATTGGTCTCAACGGTTACAGTAACTCTATCTCCAGGTACATGAAATAAAATCACTTTTATAGAGACATGAAAATGAATAAAAATGTATAACTTTTACACCATTGAATGTCACATTCAACCCATCCCCAGACAGCTTGGATCTGAGCGCACAAGAGACACAAAAAGCGTTCAGATCTCATGAACGGTATGGGAACGCCATGTGGATGAAAATTGTCTGCAGGGCTGTTCGACAAGTAGCAGCCCATGTATTCTCGGCTATAGTGTCCTGCAAGGGGTCAGTGTATCCTTCGTGGTGGCAAAGTGTCGAACAGTATGCACTTCGGTGTTTTATACACGAACGGGCAGGGCAAGATGAATCCCAGCGGGGTTCGTGCAGAATAGTGTCCAAAAAGAGTACCAGGCGTTTGACGACCAGGTCCCGCTGGGCGTTCGACAATGAAAGATGGCCGTCACCACCACGTGTCCGTGCATACGAACGACGACCCCCCGCCGATGATCAATTAGGTTGCGGTTAACCACCAGCCGCACCTTTAGGGTGATTAACTAGGGGCACACGCCTCAAGTTGGGTGGTCGGCCGTTTGGTAGTTGGTTCGACCTGTAGTTCGGTGTCCCTTTCGACCCTCTCAAACGAACGATGACCACCTTGTCGATGATCAATTAGGCTGCGGTTAACCACAAAACCGGAGCTCCTAGGTGGTTAATGGTAGGCACACTCCTCAGGTAGGATGGTCGTCCGTTCGGGATTTTGAGAGGTGAACGGCGTTCATTGGCGGCACACGCCAAGGGCTGGGTGGTTGGCCAATTGTATGTACAAATGGTCTGCAATAGTTGTTTGGGCAAAAGCAACAAAATAGCAACAAAATAACAGGGTTGTATGAGACCGAAGGGACTTTCTAACAGTTAGCAGCTAGTAATTATTAAAAAACTCAGGGTGAAGAAGAGACAGATCTGTAAGATTAGGCAGAAAGAGTCTAAGCAAGTTATAAGAGCTTACAAATCAAACACAGACTAGGCAATTGCCCAGTCAGTAAAAAGGGGGCACAAAAAGGTTTTTTAGATTCATAAATGAGAAAAGGAAAGTAAAACAAGGATTAGTTAGATTAAAAACAAAAGAAAGAATGTAGAAGAGGATAAAGGTCTAGCTGACTACCTCAATTAATATTTTTGTTCAGTATTTAGAGATGAAAATGAAGGAAAGGGACTTCAGTTAGGAAAAAGAATAAAAGAGTCATTTGTTACGCGTGGGTTTACAGAGGAAGAGGTTCTATTTCTACTTTCAAAAGTAAAGATAAATAAGTCGATAGGGCCTGATGGAATACACTCAAGGTTATTGTAACGGCAGCCCGGGAATAAAAGGAGTTAGCCGTTTAGTAGATATCCCCCTTCCAGATATACAGGCAGCTACCAAAGACACCAATCCGCTGAACAGGAAATCATATGAATGCCGTAAACAGCCGAATAGGAAAACAACATATGAATAGGTTTACACTCCTAGCAGTCAAACTGGAACAGCATACAATAAATCCCCCCAAGAACGAGACAAGGCTCTGTTTTGAGGGTCAAGCAGGAACAGACTGAGCTGTGTTTTTTTTGGCCTTATTTACACATTTTACAGACAAAGTCCCACCCACAGGGTTTTGTGGAACATACAACACAGATAAACACTCCCATTCTTTCCAGCAAAATCCTCCCCTCTGCCTGTGATATAATTACTGAACACAATGGGCTAACGTAATTATCACAGGCAAGAAAACATACAGTTTTACACAATATTCATAACTTTAAAAGTATACATCACATATAACTTACATTTTCAGACTCCACATACAAACATTCTAAAAAATCAGGCAATTCCTTCCATTGGTTTAAAAGTTAGATCAAAGTCCTTTGTAACCAAATGAAGCATGGCTTTTCTGCCTAAAACCAGTTCCACAGAGTCCTCTATCCTGGAGATAATTGGCTTAACTGGGTGTGGTAAGCCAACCATCTCCAGGTACAGAAAATATCTCTATTCACAACAACAGCAAAAATACATAACGCCTATCATACTGAACAGAACCCCCACATTCAACCTATCCCCAGATGGCTTGGATCTGAGCGCTCAATATATCCAAACCGCGCTCAGATCCCACAAACACAGTAAAATTGCCATGGGCTGATGAGAGGGGGCCATAATCATGAGGCAGGAGGCTGGCAACCAGGCTTCTCCAGTGCCCAGTGGTGAGGTTGGTTTCGCCACAGTTATTAAAAGTGCTTAGTGGTGTACTAGCAAAATCATTAGTCGATTTATTTAACCAATCCTAGTTAGTGGTCCCAGAAGATTGGAAATTAGCTAATGTTGTGTCTAGTCACAAGAAAGGTAATAGGGAGGAGTCGGGAAACTATAGGCCAGTAAACCTTACTTCAGTAGTAGGGAAGTAATGGAAACCATGTTAAAGGATAGGATTTTTTACCACAACAAGAGGACATAGTGTAATAATATTAATAATGATTTAAGTCATAAAATAAAGCATAATGAGTTTCCTGTCTTATAGGCACCACTAGGGGCAGTGTGTAGAAATCCTTAAGCTATGTGCTTCTGGCAGTGGCATCACAGGCCAGCCTATTTAGGAATGAACAAAAACCAGATATATTCAGTCTCTATAAATTAGAGGGTCAAAGGTTTAAAAATATCAGGAAGTATTACTTTACTGAGAGGGTAGTGGATGCATGGAATTGCCTTCCAGCTAGAGTGGTAGAGGTTACTACAGTAAAGGAGTTTAAGCATGCATGGGAAAGGCATAAGGTTATCCTAGATATAAGATAAGGTCAGGGACTAATGAGTATTCAGGCAGACTAGATGGACCAAATGGTTCTTATCTACCGTCACATTCTATGTTTCTACGTAATCTTTGAAGTTTCATTCACTCTGCGTGGACACGTGTGTGCGTGTGTACACACATGTGAATGTGCGGACATGTTTACAGGAGATTTCACAACTATATTTGCAGACTTAAGAATAAACGTAAAAAATAACTTATTCTAAAAGCCGTGAGCCTTTCCTGAAATATAAATGTTTTGCATTTCTGATGTTTCATGAAAATAAAGTCAGTTTTTCAAAGTATGGTAAACAATAAATCCTTTATAGACAGATTTTCTATAACTCCCAGTACATTTTCTTTCAGGTATTTCCATCAGCAGATGTTTTTCTAAAGGACAGGACAACAGAAATACACTAAGCAAGAATACGAAGAAATCACTTCATAAAAAGGCCAAGAATTTCAACTCTCCAAACTCAAGGAATCTCTCAGAATCAAATATGTCTACAAAAGACATAGTATACATAACCCCAAAACCTTTCTCATATACTGCATGTGAAAAATATTTTATCAGTGAATCATCTCTTGATAGACATCAGACAACGCACACAGGAAGGAAATCTTTCTCATGTTTTGAATGTGGGAAATGTTTTAACTATACCTCAGCACTAGTTGCCCATCAGAGAATTCACACAGGAGAGAAACCTTTCTCGTGTTCCGAATGTGGGAAATGTTTCAGCCAACAGTCACAAGTTCCAATACATCAGAGAACTCACACAGGAGAGAAACCTTTCTCGTGCTCTGAATGTGGTAAATGCTTTAGCTATACCTCAGCTCTGCATAAACATCAGAGTACTCATACAGGAGAGAAACCTTTCTCGTGTTCTGAATGTGGGAAGTGTTTTGTCAGTAAAACGGATCTTGTCAGACATCAGAGAACTCACACAGGAGAGAAACCTTTCTCATGCTCTGAATGTGGGAAATGTTTCAGCCGGCAGTGTCAACTTTCAATACATCGGATAACTCACACAGGAGAGAAACCTTTCTCATGCTCTGAATGTGGGAAATGTTTTAGTCGGCAGTGTCAACTTTCAATACATCAGAGAACTCACACAGGAGAGAAACCTTTCTCATGTTCTGAATGTGGGAAATGTTTCAGCCGGCAGTCACATCTTGTTGGCCATCAGAGAACTCACACAGGAGAGAAACCTTTTTCATGCTCTGAATGTGGGAAGTGTTTTGTCAGTAAAGCAGTCCTTGTAAAACATCAGAGAACTCACACAGGAGAGAAACCTTTCTCATGTTCTGAATGTGGGAAACGTTTTAGCCAGCACTCTCATCTTGTTACACATCAGAGAACTCACACAGGAGAGAAACCTTTTTCATGTTCTGAATGTGAGACATGTTTTGTCAGTAAACCTGACCTTGTTAGACATCAGAGAACTCACACAGGAGAGAAACCTTTCTCGTGTTCCAAATGTGGGAAATGGTTCAGCCGGCAGTCACATCTTGTTGGTCATCAGAGAACTCACACAGGAGGGAAACCTTTTTCATGTTCTGAATGTGGGAAATGTTTCAGCTGGCAGTCACAACTTGCAATACATAAGACAACTCACACAGGAGATAGATTATGTGATGTTTTGATAGTTCCAAATGTTATTGTCAACTCTAATAATATATGAGGCATCAATGTAGTAATTTACTGTGAGTGTGAGATATTCTAAAATCATAATTCAAAGTTTGCTTACCTTGCAGCACCTCATATTATAGCAAAGCCTTTTTCTTGCTGACACTATAAATAATTACTGTAACAGTATCAGTCAATGAACAAATTATGCATTGGTATTGTGATAACTTGTAAGCATCCCCTATTGACTGAAAATATGCAAATTGACGACATGGAATTTAGTGCAAATCTATCTATGCACTTTAATGTGTTTCAAAGAATTACTTGTAATATATATTTGATGTATTATTAGAATTGCTTGTTCTACATTTTTCTGTATATTTTATTTTAAATGATTTCCCCCCTCACATGTTTTTTGTCAATTCCCCAAATTACTAGTCCTTTTTCAAAATAAAGTATTGTGTGTTACTTCTTATGGAACGGTGTGTCCTATCTCACTTGTTCAGATATTCCAGTAGCAGACTTCAGCCCTGCGTCCTGACTGCACTATTTCCTGGTTGCATGGATTTCATGAGTTAAAGGAACACTATAGTCACCTAAATTACTTTAGCTAAATCAAGCAGTTTTAGTGTATAGACATTCCCCTGCCATTTTTACTGCTCAATTCACTGTCATTTAGGAGTTAAATCACTTTGTTTGTGTTTATGCAGCCCTAGCCACACCTCCCCTGGCTATGGTTGACAGAGCCTGCATTAAAAAAAAAAAAAAAACTGGTTTCACTTTCAGAACAGATGTAATTTACCTTAAATAAGTGTATCTCAATCTCTAAATTGAACTTTAATCACATACAGGAGGCTCTTGCAGGGTCTAGCAAGCTTTTAACATAGCAGGGGATAAGAAAATCTTAATTAAACCGAACTTGCAATAAAGAAAGCCTAAATAGGGCTCACTTTACAGGAAGTGTATATGGAAGGCTGTGCAAGTCACATGCAGGGAGGTGTGACTAGGGTTCATAAACAAAAGGGATTTAACTCCTAAAGGGCAGAGGATTGAGCAGTGAGGCTGCAGGGGCATGTTCTATACACCAAAACTGCTTCATTAAGCTAAAGTTGTTCAGGTGACTATAGTGTCCCTTTAACCTGACAACTTAAAACTTAATTGTAAAGATACTGTTTAAAGCTAGGCCTGTGAGCCACGAGTGCTTTTGTAAAGGCAGTAGTTGGTGGCAGCGCAGGGTCTATACAAGCCTGGGAGAAGGAGGACAGACATAGGGGACAATACATATCTGGGAAAACAAGTCCTTCTGGAGGCCAGCCCAGTTGGGGTAGATATAGCCACTGGCTTCACCTCCAGTCTCAGTAACAGTCACTACTGCACATTCCTGGTGGCGTTTCTTCATGATAACCATCCTTTCAGTAGGTGCCCGTTATTTACAGTTAGAATGTATTTTGAACTCATTTTTATATTTTAAATTGTATCTTTGCTTCCATATGTGTGCTGTAAAAAAAATAATAATAATCTTGGTAAATAAAGAGTGTTAACCACATCTCCACCGTCCTATGTACTTACCCACTCGTCACGATCCCACACCAGCAATCGCAGTGGGGGAACTCACCTGGTATCCCAGGGAGTCCCCCTGCTGCAGTTGTGGCCATCCTGGGCCATGTGATGGTGAGGTCCTTGCAAGGACCTCACCATCACATGGACGGCATAGCCGGCCACAGCAGTGCCAGCAGGGGGAGTAAACTGTGAATGTTTACATGGTGTGTTCAATAAAAACATGGCAACATTTCATTCTTTGTGAATTGTTAATTTAAACAGACTGTGATTGTCTATTGTTGTGACTTAGATGCACATTTTATGACCAATTTGTGCAGAAATCCATATCATTCCAAAGGGTTCACATTCTTTTTCTTGCAACTGTGTGTGTATATATATATATATATATATATATATATATGTGTTGGGTGCTTAAGATAGTACAGTATGAAATACCATGAATAAGCGTAGGATGATAAAAGGAGCAAGTCGGTTGTGGTGTGCCGAAACCGACGATGAGGTAGGCCTGAGAAAGAAGAGGGCAAAAATTAAGTAATCAAATTTATTAACAGACAACCAATACATATACATTTATCAACCAGACATGTTTATGAAAGCATTCCTTAATTCTTGTACTGGGTTCGGTATGTACCGTGAGTAAGCGGATGACTTCCAGCGCCCCAATGTTTTGATAACATGAGTTGGGATGTTGAAACTGGAGGCTGTGGACGCGGCTCCTATACGAAAGGAGTGTCCTGAGTATTTGTTTGCGTTGAGGTCCAGTTGTGTGAGCAAGGACCTGACGTAAGTCATGAAGGTTGCGAGGGTAGTAAGTGATGGTGCTGTATGTAGGCATCAAGAACCTTGACGGGACACCATCTGTTGTGTGTGGGATAGTACGGAATGTTTACAGGTATGTGCTGGCTGGTTTTGGAGTGAGGTAAAGACAGGATGTAATGATCCATATGTTTTGTCAAGTGGGAATAGAGGAGAAATGGAGTGGTTTGGGTCGTGGAGGTCGTAGTGAATTCTCTGGGTCGTAGAAATCCATAGAAGGCGATGTATATTGCTGTTTTGATGATAGAATTCGTATTAGTGTCAAACGGTTTTAGGTCAAGTAGGTTAGATAATACTTTGAAGATATGGTTATCTGTGGGTAGCCTCTGGGCCAAATGTGTGGGTTCTGATTTTTGAATACCTCTGAGTATGGTCTTAATTTGGTGAGAGGCCATGAAACTGTTGTTATTTGGGTGTAAGATGAGCATGTGGTGTTGAATGCCAGTGAGACAGAGTTTGATGGTGTTGTATGACATTTTGAGTTTAAGGTGGCAAAAGGAAGCAAACCCCAAAAAAGATGTCATAACAAATGGTTGTATGATGTTATGTTCCAGAAGGAATCGTTTGAATAGTGTGACAGCCCTGCTGTATGTTTTGTTTGTATTGTTTGAAAGTGCCAACTGGGACAATGTCCTGCTATGCTGCATGATGACATCTAGTCCAGTATGAGTTGTTGAAATGTTGGAGTGATGGTGGCTGTGGGTGCTGCTGACGGGAGTGCTTGATGGAACTCCTGAAATTTAAAGCAAGACAAATTGTCAGCAGCTGTGTTATATACACCTGGCACATGGAAACAACATAGGAAGAAATTATGACAAGCTGCCAACCAAGTGAGTTTCCTCAGAAATCTCATGATCGTAAGAGATTTGGAACGACCTTTGTTGATGTGACAGGTTGCCTGGTTGTCCGAGTAACAACGCACTGGCGTATTAGCCCATAAATGACCCCACGCTACGGCAGCCGCCACTATGGGGTAGATCTCAAAAAGAGCTGAGGTAGTGGAAAAACCTTCCAAATCCAGAACTGCTGAAGGCCAGCTGCCCCAAAGCCATTCGTTCCCAAAAATTGCTGCAAAACCAGTGGTAGATGCCGCATCTGACCAAATGGTAGGAGATGATTCAGTCAATTGAGGGAGGAACATACTTTTACCATTCCAAGTGGTTAAAAACCTCTTCCACATGTTTAGATCTGCCGTAGCTTGGGCATCTAAGGACAACCTGTGCGTGTCATGTAGAAAAAGTGGGAAAAGATGCAATAGTCGTGAAATAAAGGAGCGGCCTTGAGGTATGATGCGCATCGCAAAATTTAGTGACCCTAGCAGGGACTGTAGCTCTTTGCGGTTGCAAGTGCTGAGCTGTAGGTAGTTGTTTATGTAAGTGAGAATATTCTCT